TCGGTGTCAAACGGACGCTCTGGATCCCTATAGAAAAAAGACAATTTGCTAGCATTTTCCACCACTAACCAGCCTCCCAAAAAGCATCTGAAACCACCCCTTCGCCACGGCTTTAACCCATTGAGTTCTGCTCCAAACGAGCCCCAATTCCTCGGACGTTCCGTGTCAAACGGACGCTCTGGATCCCTAGAAAAAAAACAATTTGCTAGCATCTTCCACCACTAACCAGCCTCCCAAAAAGCTTCCACCAACAGCCTGCCAAAAGCTTTCCAGCCTCCCAAAAGCATCTGAAACCACCCCTTCGCCACGGCTTTAACCCATTGAGTTCTGCTCCAAACGATTGAGTTCTGGCGGATCTATCATTATTCCCTGGCGCGCTCCCCCTTGCGTCGGCCGGGGTCGGCGGATTTTCCACCACTAACCAGCCTCCCAAAAAGCATCTGAAACCACCCCTTCGCCACAACTTTAACCCATTGAGTTCTGCTCCAAACGAGCCCCAATTCCTCGGACGTTCGGTGTCAAACGGACGCTCTGGATCCCTAGAAAAAAACAATTTGCTAGCATTTTCCACCACTAACCAGCCTCCCAAAAAGCTTCCACCAACAGCCTGCCAAAAGCTTTCCAGCCTCCCAAAAGCATCTGAAACCACCCCTTCGCCACGGCTTTAACCCATTGAGTTCTGCTCCAAACGATTGAGTTCTGGCGGATCTATCATTATTCCCTGGCGCGCTCCCCCTTGCGTCGGCCGGGGTCGGCGGATAGTAGCAGACTTTGGGAGTGTGTCGCTTCAGATTCTCTACACAACAAATGGAACCGCAACCCCATTAGTTTCTTTGGACGGGAGTCACATCTGGGAAGTCCTTCATCTCAAATTTGGATTGAACAATCTCTTCAATATGGATTTTTATGATTTAATCAAAAGTCTACATGGTGTTCAAACTCTTGTGGTTTGCTGCCTCTGGCCTCGTGGTTGCAAGGGTTCTGACACCCCAAAAATGCCGCTCAAGAAGAATTCAACAGTTTGTAATTGTTTCAAGTCTTGTGCGTTTTGCCCAATGCAAGAGTGAACAGCCCGGAAAACCCGGGAACAAATGGAGAGAAAAAAACATATATATAGTAACAACGTCTCTGGTGTCTCTCATTGTGAGTGGCTAATCAATGCTTCGTTTCCGGGACCAAGACATGAACATTTCTGTGGACAAAGCGGACACCCCTACACACATGCATATTTATATGTATATATATATATATGTAACATGTATATATGATTATATATGCGTATTAAGAGAGACCTCCCAAAGACCCCTCTGGAAGCAGGTAAGTAGACAAAAAACCAAAACCCATTGGGCCAGGTGGGTATCCCTTCTACAATACACACCCATATGAGCGGCTCTAAAAACCTATGGCATCTGCCTATATGACAAGCCCACCACTAAACCCCTAGGGCTCCTGGCCCACCTCCTGAGGTTCGGTGGTTGGGGTGGGTGCCAGGGTGGTCTAACCACCTTCTCAGGAGATGGGCCAGGAACCCTAGGGAACATGAACAGCGAGGTTTATAGAGTCGCCCATATGGGTATTGACCCACCATGGCCCTGTGCGGTCTCCCGGTCTTTGACCGAAGAAGATCGCTCATGACGACCGCTGGCTGAAGATCGCATGGTTTGCCGAAGCACCTGACGCCTTGCAACCACTCAGAGTATTCATCTCTTTTTGGACACAGGATGTTGGCCCAAAGTAACACTTGGGTATAGGGTGTTGGCACATGAGATAACATCTATGCGATCTGTGATCTGTGCGATCTTTTGTTTGAACGGGGATGGCCACGGGAGTCGCCGCAGCCCAAAAGCCTTGAAAGCGCGCTAGCAACGAGGGAAAACCTAGGGGGGGATGCCTTGGCCCACCCTGTCAGACGTATCTGAGTCATGGACTTTTTCCAGACATTCTGACATGCATCTCTTGGATTCACCCCCAAAAAGGCGTATGCAGCATATGCATGTTTATAGTGGGAAGACCCCTGATAGTTCGACCTTCTGGATTTTGATGTTCTCGGAATCCACGGTGGAGAATTCAAACAACACATGGCGATCCGGACCGTCCAAACAAGGGTTCCGAGGGTACAAACCCAGTTATGGAGGCTTCGACCCTTGCTATGGATGTTCCAAGGGTCCTTGCAAGGATCTAGAAAAAGGACTAAAACTCATTGATGCTGGAAGATGGTGTCAACAGCCCACGGAAAAGCTGCCCAGGCCGGGAGCCCCTTCTCACCGGAGGCTCCGCGGGTTCTCGCCGGAATCGGAGTTGGCGGTTGTTCGAGAAACGGAATCTTTGGAGCATTTTATTTTTAGACAATTGCTCACAACATTGCGGCAAGCTATTTCGCATTCCTTGTCCTTTGACGCTGTGGCAGTCCAAACTGCCCTTCGTGCACATGGTGTCCTTTGGGGGAGTAGGGTCTGTCCGGGATATTTCGGCAGTGCTTGTGACTTGGTAGGTGATGGGAACCCGAGAGCCCAGTTTCATGACTTCCAGCAATCCAAAGAATCCTGGTTTGTTTCACGAATTCAGAATTTTGTTGAATGTTGTGTGCAACGGCAATGCTTTCGAGAGAAGTTGATTTACCAGGATTTTACAGTGACCAATATCCATGATGCAACACCCCGGCAAGATGCTTTAAAGCCATTCATGCAGTTGCCTCTTCCTGGTAAGCCATCGGCTGTTCTGTGTGGAGGCACGATTTCTTGGCTGACCTCGAGACTGATTTCTTTACGCCCTCGGGCCACGGTAGGAGAACGTTTCGATTTCGTCCAAAATTCGGAGGGGTGGCTTGCTACGGATGAAATGACCTATTTGCTAAATCGCGTTCGGCATTCCAACGCGCAGTTCCACATCACGCCAATTGCAATTTACATTCCCCATGCAGATGAATTCCAGTTCGATTCCGACAATGTCCATGTTCCGAATGATGGCACTACCATTATCCCGATTTTGCTTGGATCTCATTGGGTTGGGGTAGAGATACACAGGACAGTGACACCCACCCAGGTGCAGATTGTCCAAACACCAAATGTATGGGTCAACCGCGTGGCATTTTTCGTATGCAGCTTGCTTCACATTCCGATGCACCGATTGCAGATTCAGGAACCAGCGTACAATGAAATGTCTGGCATGTGTGGGTGGAGCCTGGCATGGAGATGGATCAACATGTTAGGCTGTCATGGCATCTTTTCGCAGGTTGAAAGAGAGCTTGCTACACTGTCGATTGATCGCCGCCGTATTGTTGATCGCACTTTGCGGCACTCCATTCGGCACTGGTATGCAACCAATTGCACACCTGACCTGCAACAAGTGGCCTACACGATCAGACGGTCGTTCCTCATTAACCTGCTTCAACTGCAGACTTCGATACATGCGACTACTGACTCAAATGCTGTGGTGGCGGTGGGTCATCCTATGTCCTGTTTTGAAACTGCGGGGGCTCATGCTACCCCGATGCCGGTTGAAACAGAGGGCCCCGATTCCTCACAAGTTGAGGTACAAACAGAAGCTGCGCAGTCTTCAGTTCAGACAGTGGAAATCCAGACGGACGTCTCAATGTCTAACCTGCAGATTGTAACACAGCCGACCCAAGGCCCGAATACCTTTCAACATCAATTGATTGCTAATCGCCGGGAGGCAAGTATGGCACAACCTAGCTGGGCCGGCTCAGACGAGCTTGACGCAATGTCCATGATTTATCAACCGTTTCTAGGCCAAGGTATGATTCTGCCGTGTATGTGGTGGGATCCAGACACGCAAGCAATGGATTTTGTGTCCAGTCAGAGGATCTATTCCGACCTGCAAAGCGTTTTGTATTGCATAATTGCCAGGCACTCTCATTGGATGGGGGTCAAGATTGTTCGTCATGCTGGAATGGCCTATGGCCAGGTCTTTACCACCGACGTCTTTGCGCCAGATGAATGGAACTCTTTTGTTCATTGCCTAGCTCAGTTCTTGCAGCTTCCTTTTGGTGAGACTAGGATGCAATTGATCTCAACACCGTCACCAGAAGGCATGTGTGGGTATTTAGCACTATATACGGCACTGAATGATATGCAATGTAGGGTCATTCCGGATGTTGAGCATGCACTTCTTCGTTTGCAAGTGTGTGAGCATGCACACGCATTGGTAGATATTGCCAACCAAGCTTTAGACATGTGGCATGTGGTTTCCCAACATGGGGACTTGAACAACTTTGCCTTCGTCACTAGACTCTTGTTTCTCGAAAGGATTTCCCAGGGCCGGGGCTTGGGTCCTTTTATGTTGGCAGGAGCTGTGTTAGGCACGCAAGACTTCGTCTCCAGATCCACATATCCATCTCGATTGCTGCCAGATCCACATCCTGCAGTTGAGCATTCAGGCTCAAGATTGACCCTCTCTTCCCTAGCCACTCGACTTGATCGCTTCTGCGGGGTTCGAGTAGGTGAGGCCTCCAATCCTGGACCTGTGTCGATTCGTCCCACAGAACCTATGCAGCAGATTGTCAAAAGACTCCGGGATTTTCGTCCTGTGAACTCGGTGTGCCCGTGTCAGGCTCGTAGTTTTTCAGCTTTTGTCCGGTTCGGGCCAGTTATCCATGAACATGATGCAGGGGTTGTCGGATCTCTGTCCATTGTCGAGCCAGTCATTTCCTTCCCGACCACATTTCGCAATGTGTCTGTGTGCCATCCAGATTGCACACATGTGAAAGCTACGCAAGGTCGGATTAAGATTCTCAAAGGGATATGGCCTCGTCAGGATGAGTCTAATCTGGCGTGGATTACTGACGCAACGATTTCAGAGTGGGGTGAGGACTTTCTGGTCGATGCCACCCTTCCGCACGTGGGGGTGTTTTTCCCATGAGGCAGATGCAGGTGGAGGAGGAAGCAATCTCCACAGGAGAATTGTGCTGCGGAGGGTTTTCTGGTTGGACTCAAGCCGCTGGTTTCGTGGCCGAACATGTCACTCCGATTGTGTCCAGTTTTGCCATTGACATTAATCCACTGGCAGCATCCACCTATGCTGCAAATTTTGGTGATGGTCATGTAGAGAAGTCGGCCCTTGATGTGCTTCACCGGGAACAGATCACTTTTATGCGACCTGCACAGCTGAGAACATTTCAATGTGACATTCGGCAAGGGTGGTGGCTGCAGTTCATTCGCTCTGTTGACGTCTTGCTGATGTCACCCCCCTGCCCGGCATGGAGCCTTGCCAACGTGGCTCATGGGCTTTCCAGGGAAGATGGCTTTCTAACCATAGAAATTCTGCTCAAGGCTACCATTCTTCAGCCGGTTGCAATTGGCCTGGAAAACGTAAGTAATTTTATGGCACATGCTCATTACTCGTTTGTCCTTGATGTCATTGATTGGCTGGGGTGGAAGGTCAAGTGGGGGTGCAAAGCTAATTTGTCCGACCTGCTGCCACAGAGCCGTGAAAGGTGTCTCTTGACTTTGGTCAACAAGTCCAATGAGGTGAGGCCGGAGTTTGTCTTTCGTCCATGGCAGAAGTCTTCAAATTTCTTTGCAAACATGTGACATTCTTCGTCCCAAGGATTGCTTATCACATAAGCATGCACCAGATTTGACAACTGAAACCCTGCGCATGTATTTGCGCCCAAATTTTGTTCCAGGGGACAGAAAGGGGGATACTAAGTCCGCCAAGATGTTCCGCTTGAGGAACAAGACACAATCATTGGCCTGCATCCTTGCGCAATATGGATATGCACACGCCTTAGACCAGACAACCTTGGAAAGGGGAGGCCTGTACGGTAACCTGATTGTTGACGGTGACATCATTCGTTGGATGTCCCTTCCAGAGTTGTGCAACGCCATGGGTTTGCTGGTACCATGGACCGCTCCCCTGGATCCCCGTGAAGCATATCCGATGGTGGAGAATGCAATTGCCACTCCCCACGCAATGCTGAGACTGGTGAATACCATAGCTCAGACATCCAAGGTTGAGTGGGACACTACTCCTACTCATTTGATTGACTTAGCCATGTCCCATCGTCTCTCAGCATCCCGTCAAGAGGTTCTCGTCAACTCGGCTACAGGGAAAATCCAAATCAAAGAACTCGCAGTGTCGCCGACCTTACCATGGTCTGATCCACCACCAGACTTTGCAGTATGGTACATTCCCGTGGGACCGGGTTTTTGCCAGATCCGGATCCATCCTGGGCTTCCGGTGGCTCGGGTCTTGCGATTTGTCTTCCCAAACGCGCATGGAGGTTCGATTACATGGCGCCCTCGTGCCTTTCCTGATGTTCAAATTCCTCTGACTTTGGAAGATGTCTCAGGTTACGACACAGTTCATTTCGACGGCATTTTCGGCAATATGCAAATCCGTGAGGGCGAATGCCACGTGATTGCAAGACCTTTTACGGTTGTCTGCTCCCCCAGTGGCCTGTTTATAGTTGCGAAGCAAGTTCGCTGCCCTACTCAGTCATTGCTCATGTCACTTAGTGGCCATATCCCTCAGATGCTTGGCCCAACAGATATGTGGGGCTTTCCGTTGCCTCTCACAGAGGATTGTCCAGATTTGGCATTTATGCTTCCTGCCATTCATGACACACCTCCTCAGCCGATCATTGATGCCTTGACGTGGAAGGACACAGATAGTGGATGGGATGTGCATACCACAGAAGAACAATTGCACACATACATTCGCTTTTGTCGGGAGGTTGGTCTCTTGGCTCTCGTCGAGTCTCTTGGTTGGCAGATGGTCGTCGTGCCACCTGGGGTTGACTATAGGCCTGCCTGGTGTGTCACATTTCGACCAGCCGTGCATTCGCCAAGTGTCTCAAAACCACAATTCCGGTCGATTTGCACCGCAACAATCGCCCAGGCCCTATTTCCACCTGAGACATCTGACAGTAAGGCCGTAAAAGTCGCACTTAAGCCATGGGACACGTGGCACCCAGTTCGCAGTTGGCCACGAGATACACTAGTTGAGGCATTACTCAAACCGTGGCAGCAGGCTTCGCGCCATACTGGAGCCCAGTTTCTCCTAAGGGCTTTGCATGGAGGAAGGCAAATGACCAATGAACATCAACTTGGTACATACATCCCTGTCACTCACTCTAAGGACGAAGTTACGAAGTTTCATTTCGTAATGCAGCAGCATGGAGGAGGGAGTAAGCTTGATGCACACCATCGCTTGAAACAACAAGCAGTTGAATTCCTGCTCCAGTGGGGGGTAACCCGGCTGATGTGAACCCTTTTGTCCAGGAGTTGTATGAAAAAGCGGGCATGTCCAG